GTCACAGTCATCAGATGAATGACATGATGGTGGAAATGATATACATCCTTTGGTCTTGTCACATCCTGATTTACTGATCTGAAGACAGCAAACATGACTAGTTTGTTCACTGTGTGTTCTGTAGCAGGCATAGCGGCACACGGGGATCGTGGTATCGGAGCAGGTAATCTATGTGGCTTACCTCAAAAGACCTTGAACCAGCACAAAGTATGGCTACAAAGAGAAATATAATTTATAATATAATTATTTGATCATAGGCCAACGAAACGAAGATATACGGAGTAACTGAGACATACGAAGTAACCCTGATCTGACAAGACATCGTTAAGTGATTGTGAAATTACTTTTGATATATGAATATTTTTTAAGTGGAAAGAAAATAAAATGTATTTGACCATAGTTAATAGAGTGTTATGGTTAGGAAACCCTTTTGTTATAGGTCTTTGTTCGCTTTTTTCAAGCGTGACCGTGCACAATCCTTTGTTTTACCATTGTTTTACCATGGTTGGCAATGGCTGAGTGAACAGACAAAAATCTTTCTTTTGGCTGGTAATTCAAAATATTTAAAGATTTATAAGAGATATTTGAATATTCCTTACAACAATCTCATAGACAAAGTTTATGTTTACTTATTTTGCAATTTGAGATAAGCATAAATCAAAGATTGTGCATGGTCAAGACCGGTTTAACATCAAAAGCGAACAAAGACCGATAACAATAGGTTTCCTAGCCATTCCCCTCTATTAACTATGATTTGACAATTACTTATAAGTCGGGTTATAAGACATTTATGCGCCTAAATACATACGCAGACACACAGAACTAATGAATCTATTTCTTAGATAAACTTAGTTTTAAAAGCTGAAATAATTTCTGCTGTTTTACTATTTTGGGGAATAGAGTTCCACGGGTGCTTGAGAAGGAAAAAACACGACAATCAATGTTTGGGTGTGCTAAGCCGGGATGCGCAACAGCCTTAATAATTTCCAATACCTGAGCTAATGACAAATGAAGAGCTTACCTAACACAGCAAAAAAATATACCCTTTGAAAACCCATGGCTGACTTTATCAAGCTAAGATGTGTCCGAATCTGCAGTCCAGCTGAAAATGGCGACCGATATGCAGTAAGGTTAATATCACTCAGGATGATTACATAACATCACACTAAATGACGATGGGGCGTCCCGCATCGTTTGCAACAAGTCTCTTGATTGGTTAAAAAAAATACATCGGACATCATTAGACAATAGTTTGGTCTTCTAAACAAGTCAACAAAACTTAACCTAACAATCAAAAAGCAGTTTCCAAAGGGCAAAGTACTTCGCGGAATGTTACACTACTAAACAAGACAAAACTTTAGCCTGGGGACGACACGCCTGCGATGCCACCGTAGGTCCTACCCGTGACGCCACCGATGATGGATACAAGGTTGTCACCAGCATCGCACACTGGCCAGATTTAATTGTCACCAGTATGTCTGCAAAAGTTGTGTTGAGTTCAAGTCTTACGGCATGTTGTCGGTGTCCCCGATTGTCTTTGAGTTGCCTGCAACCATACTTAATAGAGGGGAATGGTTAGAAAACCCTTTTGTTATAGGTCTTTGTTCAATTTTTTCAAGCGTGACCGTGCACAATCCTTTGTTTTACCATTGTTTTATCATTGTTGGCAATGGCTGAGTGAACAGACCAAAATCTTTCTTTTGGCTGCTAGTTCAAAATACTTAAAAAGATTTATATGAGATATCTGAATATTCCTTACAACAATCCCATAGACAAAGTTTATGTTTACTTATTTTGCAATTTCGGATGAGAATAAGTCAAACATTGTGCAGGGTTAATGAACTCATCGCTAAAAGTTATGTAATCCCCAGATTCCGACGGGATCATGCTTATAATCGATAGCCATGATCCTTTGCGTCTCTGTCATATAAATATACGCTCCCATCTAGAGCGTGGTCACTTCAACAGATCAGACTCCGTGGAAGGATAAATTTTTGGACCCACCCACCTCCCCTGGTGGCGGTGACAAACAACGCGACATGTACCTTCATTACATACCTATTACCTCAGTTGTCGCAGATCCCCCCCCCCCCCCCCCCATAACTTAACCATCTGCGATGAGGTAATGAGTATGCAGTGAAGATGTAGAACTATACTGCAACGTAAAATGAATATGGCAATCTACCGGAGATATTTTCAGCTGCCATAATTAATGCAACAATAGTGTAATTTTGCGGGTTGTGGGCTTTTGACCGTACCGGTTTTACATTTCCATCATCGGAATGGCCCGGGCGTCCAAGGTAGGACCTGCAGTGGCATCGCAGGCGTGTCAACGACATATAGAAAGCAGGTTATCTTGAAAACAGAGACCAAACAAAGTAAATACATCACGTACCACACTTAGGGGGTTTCTCATCTCACTTAGACAAAGCAGAAAAACGGTTTTTGGCTTTTCGCCGTAAGGACAGGTATTTAAGCTCAATATTTTGTAAAAACGTTCTTTTGGAGCCAAATGGCAAAATATCAAATGCGACCAATACTTATTGAATGCGTATTTGAGATATAAAGCCGTGTACTTTGGGAGAGGTGATATTTTGAACAGCAGAAAAACTGACATTTTCGTGAATACTAAGTAGATTTACTCTAATAATTCGACAAAATTTCGTCACGAGTTTCGTGCAACAGTGACACAAGTGAAACGCTTAAAAATTTGGAGTATTAAGCTCAGTGAAATAAAAAAAATCGTGAAAGTAGCGGGCTTGTCGTTTTTCTGCCCTGTCTCTCACTTATCACATGAACATATCGTGACAGTCACGTGACCTTACACAGGTATCCTAATGCTATCGTATTAGCGTCATAGTGTTCCGACAACAATGTAGTTAACAAGCGGCTTGAATAAAACAGAAGGAAAACTCTCTCTTGTCTTTACAAACTAGACAGTGCATGATAATACTCCTGTTCTGGTATCCGTGGTCCAGAAAACTAACTACACCACGTTTGTTTACTCGGTAATACCTTCCAGCAAACCAAAAATGAGCAAAATCGAAATTTTGGCTGTGACCGATTCTCGATTTTGCTCGATATTAGTAGATATCTGCTCTTAAACTGCTCGAATTTCGTGCGGCAAAGCTTGAACCGGCTGTTATCACCGGAGTTGTCTAGTCTTAATTGAACATAAAATCGTTAATCAGATCTCAAGCATCACAAACAATGGACAGAGAATAATAAATGTACTCGTTAGTCTTGCTTGGCAGGTGAAAAAAATGAAAAAAACCCCGAAGTTTTCGAAAAAGTTTAAAAGAACGAAAAAAAAGTTTGAAACGTTTTTGCAAGTTTTTTTTTTTCAAATTCAACAAAGTTCAAATTGCTTTTATCGTTATAAAAACTGGTTAAAAATATTGTTCATGAAATCTTTGAAAACGAAAACTCTTTTGAACTTCATACGCGTGCGCATGTGTTTTCACGCCCATGTAAAAGAACACTTTCAGTAAGAGTCACGTGACGTGGTTATGCTTTACGTTATATTCTAAACATGTATCGGGCAGTGCTGCTGGCATCTTCAGGAAATTAAAGAAAGTATTAATAAGTAACGCCTATAAACATGAATAAATGATTAAATTTATGTTTACTCTTTAAGTGTAAAACGGCTTCTTAATTTTACTAAATTTGCGTTTTTCAATTTTGTGGCCCGTCAAGTTGGATGCGCCTTGAGAAAACGGTCTATTGTAAGTCCAGCAGGTTGGCTTGCTTGGAATGTTCCATCTATTAATAAGGCACGTACCAAAACAGGCCTGATTATAATACCAGATCATTTAATTGTCTTGTCATACTGATACGTCCCGAGGGCAAATCTTCCACGATGTCAAACTAGCTTCATGCTTATCTTTAAATCTTCATATTCAACAAACAACGAGTTTTTGTAATGTAACAGGTTTTTCAGTAGAGAATTTGGTGATGCCTTGTGAGAAAAACGTCAAACAAGTAATCCAGCCCTGGCGACGTGTAGTTATGAAACTCAAGTGTTCGCTAATTAATGTTTTTGGAATAGAAACACCTGTAGTGTTAATGAGAGAAATTTATTAAAACTTAAAGGATTATTTTGGCACAAACAAGTTGGCTAGCATAGCTGCGTACCGTGCATGAAGCAGGGGAAGAACTTTTACAGAATTCAGCAATACTCGCTCGTGAACTACTAATAATCCTCAATCTTCCGGCTCAGTAAAGTCAACAGGCAAGTCGTACACTTTTCAAGTACGAATGATAAGGTACCCACGTCACTACATCACACCCTATCAATAATCGCTCCTCTTAAAGGTTATTTAAAGATAAACATGTACATATGTACGTTTAATAGTGCACTGGATAAAAACACCCACCTGGTTTAGTGGTTAATTCAGGGGGCTACCGGTATATCAATCTAAGTGTTACGAAGGAAGTAAGTAAGAAGATATGTTATTTTAAGTAGCAAACAGAGGTGACTTGGATTTAAAAGTTTACTAGTGTTATGAGAGAGAAACTGAATATTTTTACAGACAAACTAAGCAAGACATCAGTTGTCTAATTACTATTACTTATCGTATGAAAACAAGATAAAGAACGATCAATTAGCTATATAAAAGTATCGATATAAGATTTCAGTAAGGCTAACATCCCGTACAAGTTTAGATAATGGTATCCTTTGAATTCACAAGTAAACTTCTTAGCTCCTTCCAATAGCATTTGAACCTCTGGTTACGCCCTACACACTTTCTACCCCTTTGCTTAGTTATTTTAGCATTATTCTTTTGAATCTTATGATAGAAACATTCCTCGTAACTTTTTCTATACATTTACAATATATTCATATTTTAAGCTATGTTTAGTTCCAAGATTTTCACTCGTATTACTCGTTATTAAGATATCACGCTCAGGAATTTACTTATCCTTTTATACTTATCATGGTTCAACGATAATATCATATTGATTATAGATTGGCACATGTCATATAATTATTATAAATATAGCTCGTGTAATTAGTTCAATACACAGAGAGAACCTGAAAGACTGGAATAAAGATTCCGGAGCTCGAACCGAGAGCGGTCGTCCCATAACACCAGTTTACCAGTGCTTGATTGCCAATGTAGTATGATATCGGGTCCTATAGCTAGCTGATGAACCCATCATTTAGTCGTTATTTTCATTGTAAGTGCACGAGTTCGATGAATCTACAGATCTCTCGCTTTGTATGCAGTGAACGAAGCAAAAACGATCGATTCATAAGAACTTTTAAAGCAAAATTTATATTTCCTTCATAAAGGAAGCAAGCTTCGACAGCATGAGAATGATTAAACATGTACAGAAGCGCTCTGTTCGTTACGTATTAGATTTTCCCGAGTTGCACCAGAACGCCTTACATCATGGGGCAGTTTTAGGACGTATTAGTCTCGTTTGGCGTAACTTTCACTTGTTAATAGTAAAAAGTGATAAGAAGTCTTAATCGTCTATGTGTTAATTTTAACTTTTCTTTCCTTTTTTGGTTCATTAAAATCAACTGACTGATGAAGCGTCGCTTAAAACAGCCCATATAGATACCCCGCATTTCTTCGCTGAGGCTAATATTTCTCGTGTTCGTGACGTCACTTAATAATAAATAAATGAATAAATAAACAAACAAACAAACAAACAAACAAATAAATAAAAATGAATGAATGAATGAATGAATGAATAAATAAAATAGCTGTAATTAATTCCAGTAGTAGGAACGTGCGGCATAGCCGACAATCCTAAGGTAGCTTCTGCTCTATATCGCCCAATCAAACAACGAGAAAATGCCCATCACGTGACAGTCACATTGCAGGATTCCCGGTCATAAATAATCTGATCTCTATGTTTGTACTCAGGACCCACACCATGATATCTTCCCTTGGAGTCCTGCTGATATTATTGCTCACACAACTGCCGTGGATTCAAGCTGACTGCAGCAACAACGTCTTGTTCTTACGACATCCTAACGAAGCTCTCTTAGGTCATGTGATCAAGACTATTGAAGAGAATTACATGACGTGCATCGAGAAGTGTATAGAAACAAATGGCTGTCGTTCTGTTAACTTCTGTCGAGACAACAACGGAAAGGAAACGTGCGAGTTGAACAGATCATCCAAAACCCTTCGACCTGACTCCATTGTCTCTTATTCCAGCTGCGAGTATAACGAGATAACGGTGAATATAATTAATTGATTAAATAGGCATAGGAATAGGCATACAATATAGATAGTACGTTGCTCGTTTATAGATGCATGGAATACGAAGGAGAATAGATTATACATCCATGTATGGAAACTAGGATGTGGTTGATTCGATGGAAAATTTGGGTAAATTAGGACAAGAAAAATATACGATTCGTTTAATATTTCAGAGGAGAGACGACTGCACGTCACAAGTCTGCCTGGACAAACACCTCAGTGACAGGCACAGGTTCAATTCATCTTTGTTCCTCTTGGTGAAGGACCGAATGACGTGGAACGAGGCACGGATATTCTGTCAATCACTTCAAGGAGACTTGGCATCAATTGCGAGTCAGCAAGAAAAACATTCTATAGACTCGACACTTTTGCCGGCTACTCCACAAGGTAAATGAAATAAGTTATTTTAGAAAACAGCGAAACTCAGCATTTGTGGTTTAAACGCACCGTAACATTAGTGTTTATTGAGTTTGGTTGGTATGTGAAGTAGTAAGTGGTGTGTTAGATGTTAGCATGGTGTGGTGGTGGGTGGTGTGGTGGGTGGTATTGTGGTGTGGTGGGTAGAAGTGTGGTAGTGTGGTGTGATGTGTGATAGTATGGTGTGCGATAGTGTGATGGGGCAGATGGTAATATACATGGAGTGGTAGTGTGTAGTGGTATGTGGTATGTGGTAGTGTGGTGGGTGGTATTGTGGTGTGGTGGGTAGTAGTGTGGTGTGGTGGGTAGTAGTGTGGTAGTGTGGTGTGATAGTATGGTGTGCGATAGTGTGATGGGGTAGATGGTAATATACATGGAGTGGTAGTGTGTAGTGGTATCTGGTGGTGTGGTGTGGTGTGGTGTGGTGTAGTGTGGTGTGGTGTAGTGTGGTGTGGTGTGGTGTGGTGGGTACTAGTGTGGTAGTGTGGTGTGATGTGTGATAGTATGGTGTGCGATAGTGTGATGGGGTAGATGGTATTATACATGGAGTGGTAGTGTGTAGTGGTATCTGGTAGTGTGGTGTGGTGTGGTGTGGTGTGGTGTGGTGTGGTGTAGTGTGGTGTGGTGGGTAGTAGTGTGGAGTGGTATTGTGGTGTGTTATATGATAGTCTGGAAGGTACATGGTAATATGATATGGTACATGCATGGTAAAAAGATATTTCCAAATTTATTATAATATTCAAAATAGCTTTTTGTCTTATTGTATATTAGGACTTGGGACGCTAATCCTTAATTTCTTTACTAGATTTTATTATATATAGCGTATTTATTTCATTCTATATATATCGTATTTATATATTTGTATATGTATATTCATAAACGTAATTTTTAATGTTAAATTTTCAATTAAGAATAATAATAAACTATTAAAAAATAAAAAAATATTATCTGGATACCACGGGGTTCGAACCAATCCATAAAAAATTCAAAACAAAAAAAATCGATTCCACTTTGCCATACCCCCGAGATATCCGCAGAGCTGGGGCGTCGTATGGACTTCGGACCTGACGGCGATTAAATCCTTCTGCCCTTGGGTGTACGAATTACGCAAGAAAATGTTCTAGCCGAAGCATCAGGGGAGAGACCAGCCGGCCCCCAGACCATATCGGCTGATCCCTTGCATCTCTGCCACGCACGGAATCGGTTAAAAGTAAAAAGCTAAAAAGTCTAGTCTATTTGATGCATTGTTTTCACGTCCATTGTTATGCTGATTTACCTGTAACCGTGGTCCAGTGGAAAAAACTTGGGCTTCCATGACACTGAGTCAAGTCTGGTTGAGCGAAGTTAGTAACTGGATGGGTGACCTGCTGATACTTATACCTACTAACCTTTTTTTTTTTTTTGCATTTTTTCGTAACTTTTGTTGATCGATAGCAATTCATTTAAGTTAAGAAATCGTCGAAAATTAAAAACTGCCGAGCATTTAACTCATGTCCGACAGTCTGTGAACAAGAGCAATTTCCCCCGACTAATATAAGAGAGTCGTTCGTATTCTGTTCCGAGGAAAGAAAAAAATTCAAATTGAAATCAATAATTTAGACATGGTCTTTCTTGTAATGAAATATAATTTTGAAATCATTAACTGTTCGTGGTGCTCGTTCCCGGTCTTTCACTTGTTTTTCTTATGGTTAGCAGTTCGTTTCTTATTTGTAGCAACCCGTTTAACTTGCTGCGTGTCCCTTATGACACTGTAAAGATCAGTTGTTGGCGTAGTGGCAAATGTGATAAAAAAAAAAAAACAAGTCCATGACTGATTGTTTTTTTTGTATTCGTTCAAGGAAACGTAACAGAAACTAAACTGCTTGGTTTATGGAAGCTGGATGGTACGGACGCCGATCAAGAAATAAGGTAAGATATATACATACATATATACATAATACTGCACATCATCGTACTCACCACACAAACATGAACCTTAGGGATGGACCATTAGATAATTGATGGGGGGTTGTAGAAATTTTTGTTGCGTGATATTTATTTATTTTTTGGCTCAAACCTTGCATGTTATTTTTTTGCATACAGATAGATATTTTTCTCCTAGCAGAAGAGGTTGCACGATATTTTTTTTGAGGTTTAAGTGCTTGCTCGATATTTTTTTTGGGATTTATGCAAACCTCCATTAACTACCGGTCCGTCCCTTAGATTCCACGGCAAAGCTCAAATCAAGTCTGTTGATGGATACAAAGCTTTGTACCTTGATGGAAAGAACACAAGCTTCGCCACCACGCCTACCATGGGCTTGCTCAGACGTAGCTTCAGTATCGGGGCCTGGGTCAAGCTCCTAAAACCAGCCTCTTCTGGTCTTATCTTTGGTGACTGGTCGTCAACTTATCAGTTCTCTGTACTGGTGAATGACAATGGTACTGTTTCTGCGCACGTTCATATTGATCCCGACGTGTTTGTTCAAGTGAACTACAGGTATAACAATAAATACGTGAACAATGAATTAATATGTCTTTCTAAGCTTCATGGAACTTTTCCATATCCTTAAAATCCTTATCCTTAAAAAGAAATTAATTCACATTCCTCGTTTGCTTTTTTTTATCATTACAACAGCTCGATCCCTTTCAATGTTTGGGTTCACGTGATGTTTTCCTGGGCTAAAAATCTCAGGGCTTTGCACATCCGAATCAACGGTAAACAGAAGGCTTTACAAATAGTTCCAGGCAATTTTAGCATCAAAAGGCTTATAAAAAGAAGTACACAGAACTACTACATTGGACTTGAAAGAAACAGAAGTACTGTCTTTCACGGATACTTAAGAGAGTTGGCTGTTTATTTCTGGAGTGCTGAAGATGACATCATTGCCGCCAAACGAATTGGTATTAACAATAGTTAAACTATGATGCTATCCTCTTTGTCTATATTTTCTGCTCTTCCTGTGAACAACTAGAAATACCGAACTCCCCTCCGGTGACTCGTGGGGATGCTCACCTATAAAATTGCGCGTGGCCTTTTGTTATGTTCTATAATTCTCTTGGATATATAGTACTGTGGCCACTACTGTTTGCCCAAGAGCCCAACCCCGTTGCTCCCACCACAGTTTACTTCCGCCGCCTTGACACTCGTGGAGCGTAGAATTGTGGGAAGCAAAATGGCGAAGCTTTTTAGATGTCGTAAAAATGCCGGTTCATTAATGAAAGTAATATTTTTTGATGTATACACACAGGGAGATGGGACAAATTTAATGGCGTGTGGATTGGCCTAAACGACTTGAACAAAGAAGGAAACTTTGTATACAGCGATGGGTCAGAAGTGACCTACAAGAACTGGAATAAAGACGAACCGGATGATTTTGCAAATTTTCAAGATTGTGCGGCTATTTTACTTTCAAACGATAAATATTCCTGGTCCGACCAACCTTGCGGGCTGGAACTGCCCTTCATTTGCCGTAAAAAGGAATAGACGTCATTTGCATGCGGTTAAACTTTTTATCATTTAATATCTTTAATTTATATAAGACACTTTGTTTGGAGACCAGCTCTGTTGTAATCCAAGAGATAGTCCTACTGCATGAAACAATCATTTATAACAACATGATAAAAATCATTTATTTATAATGTGTTCAAGGTGATTTGGAATCTAGGCGCGCAATACGCTTTGTTTGTGGCAGCGAAGATTTCTAAGCATTTTCCCACGTCAACAACAAACTCAAAATGTGCTGACTTTTAAATGACATTTGGTGAGTTTTCTACCAATGAGAATTTTCTTTATTTTCGGGTGAAAGCTGCATGCTGTTTTCTCAAGCCGAAAACCCGGAATTAGGAAATATCGAGTAACGAACAAAAGGCCTTGGTCATAGAGATAGAGAGACTGAAAATATACCTGAATAATTAGTCAACGACTTTACAAAAATATCCCGTTATTACAGTTAATGTACTAAAAAAAGCATGTAACGCAATAACGTAAAGCTTTGTAATAAAGATTTCTTTCTTTTCGCTTTTGCTTTGTGTTATAAGAGCATTGGTCAATGATTGCCTGCTTCCATGAAGTTTTGGTTGCACTTAGTCAGTCGCTTCAAGCACTCAACAAGCAAGAGGCGAACTCAGCTATGCTAAGATTCGGGATTCACGCTTCCTTTCCTTCCTTCCTCAGTACGCTTCTTATAAGCAACCTCCCGGCCGCGTGCACACAAGATTGAGGTAAGATTTCGGTCAAGCTACAACAGCATCCTCTGATTGCATGACTTTTATTGATACCTGTCAATCAATACCATCAGCAGAAACCTTTTAAATGAAAATCCATAAAGCTTAATATCAAGAGAGCATTGATATAATGTTATGCTCTCTTGATTTGATATCTTTGATGATCCTTCAAGTTTTATTACGAGTCTTTTTCAGAGTCTTTTTATTAATATTTTTTAAATAATCACTTCCGGTTGTCAATGAAAACTACACAGGGATCCCAAAATCAGTTTGAAATAAATTCAAAATGGCGGACGCAGTTGGAGAAAATCAGGGACCGCAAACTCGTCAGGTTTGTTCTCTGGGTTGTGCAGATTGGTGTCATTTATTAAGAATATAACTGTATGTCTCATGTCTTTTAATATCATATGTTTTGTTTTTAGTTGGCTGTAGCAATCGACGGTACTCATACTGACATATTGTGCACATGGTTCTCAGATCGTATCATGGTAGTTGTAACTCAGTATAGAAAATTTGGGACTTTGGTAAGACTTTTGTGTTGTTCAGGGTAGAAAAGTAGGGAAATAAGATACTTCTTGAATCTTTGAAAAAGGTGATTTATGGAGGAGAGAGGAAAAAAGGTGGTCGTTTCGATACATGTCAAATGTTAAATCTTGATAAGTTATATAAGGTTTTCTTGTTGTCGATAGAGTCAAGCCATTTTTTTCTTCGTAACCACCTATATGACAGTTGAATCCCAACATCCCCACCTGATTTATGCACACTAGAGCTTTCCCCAATCAGCTGTACCCTCTACCTCTCCCTTAAAGCTACAGTAATCTTCATCCCACCTTTACACACAGATTAATGTGAAGAAGGAAAGTACAGTATCAAGAGATTTATCATCAAATCAACCACTCAACAATGAACCAGTTTTTAACACTAAAGTCTTAATGGGAAAAGATGAGGTAATATGTGATTGATTTGTGGGTTTTTTAAGGGGTATAAGCCTAGAGCTCTTATAGGAGTCCTGATATTTACAGTTTCCGAGTTGTCAGAGACTGACAAAGCTTATGCTGAAGAAACAGAAAACGTGCACGTGTGCTGTGTGCAGTTATAAAGCACGTGGGGTTGGCAGAACACAATAGAAGCGTCAGGAGAAGCATGACATGTAGCAGAGTGCTTCTCGACACTTCTAGAATGTTCTGTCAATCCCCAACTGCTTTATAACTCCACACAGCACAACAAGTTATTTTATAAAGCTATGTAGAGTATGTATTGGAATGTTAAAAGGAGGGAATGTTTGAGACTTATGTGTACCTTACTTGTAGCATGTGTTGGTGGTCTTCTGTATATATATGTAGACTTGTGTCTTAGTGATTCTATTCTAGTACTCTTGGTGGTGAAGAGAAGAGAATTAGGTGGGATTGAAGAAGTTCCTTCAATTCAGTTGTCTTAATCAATCCAACTGTAGGTGTCCTTCCATCTTTTTCCTTTAGGGGTAACAACTTTTTTGTAGTCCTTGGCCCTGGGGTAGTATGGGATACCTGTGGCCACAGGGTTACCATGAAGTATACACACATATCTTCTTAATTAATCACATCCCCGTTGCACTTTTCAGCTTCAAAAATATTATTTATTATTGATCAAATAATTAAAATAATAAAGACTTTTTGTGTGTTACAGCCTGTTTGGCATGTTTATGGTCGACAAATTGCCAGTATTATTGGTGAAAAAGATGAGTCAAATCGTCAAGTTCTACTTGCAATAGCTTTAAAAAAACACTCTCCAGAAATCCTTCATTGTATCATGGACCAAATACAAGAACTAAAAACAAGCTCACTCGTCAAGTAAATCAGTAAGAAACACAAAAATACCATGCATGTGACAATAATCATTGTGTAGGTAGTTTATTTGCAATCGTTATGTGTCCTGTTTCTGTTCCATACTCTGGTACATGCAGAGCTGTTAACCCCCCCGAGATATTCAAATCTGGAGAATTGATAGGGAAGGGACATGATGTCACAGCGGATGACATATACAATATGATTGATGATGTCATTTGCTTTGTAACATTTGATGTGATTGGTTTATTTCTGACCAATCAGATTATCGCTTATGCTACAATGGCCTGCTTGCAAGAACAGTTTATGAGGAATGTTTTGATTTTGTTAGTGATGTAAAATAACACAAACAACATGAAATAATTGGAATTTTATAGTTGTGAAAGTCAAGTCTCACAAGAAATGGTCAGCTTCGGGGATTATCCAGGAGATTTGAGACTCTAATCTGGAGACCGGGAGATACAGTCCAAAATCTGGAGATTCCCGGTTTATCCGGGAGAGTTGACAGCCCTGTACATGTATATTGGTATGGCAAGTGTACAGTACAATAATATTTTCTAACAGATGTGCTTTTATCTGCAAATTTATAAATAGAATTGTAAACATTACTTTAATTTATCCGCCAATCATGGTGCAACTGTTTACCAAAGCATCATCAGTAATGATTCTACAAGGCACTAAAGTTTGTCACTCTAAACAGTCTGATTATTATGGATTATTTATCTAAAATAAAATTACCAGCAGGGCTTAAAATAGAAAATACAAATAGCCAAATTTCCCTTCCATTTTATTTTCTATTTGGCAGTTTGAAATGTTTTATCCAGCAGTAATCTTTGAACTGCATTTGGCAGGCAGCTGTTGCGACAGCTGTTTTGGGAACCTGTACTAGTTATTGACTAAAAATGTATGTAGATCACACCTGGACACGAGAATTATTACTTGATATGTTTATAACAAGATAAATACCAAAAAAAGTAAATAAACTAAAACTTAACTGAAAGATATAAATAAGTGATATGTTACTAAATTAAATTTCCTAGGTTTCCAGTTGCCAGTTAGGCTGTGTTCATTATGTATGGAAGGGGGGGGGGGGGGGGGGAAGGTGAAAATTTGAAATGTCCAGAATAATTCTTAACACCCCCCCTTAAAATCATGCAAAAAATACAATCCCCCCTAAGCAAGGCTTGTAGCTTCTTCCAAAAATTTTGCATCCCCCCATTTTTATGATAAAAATTTGCCCATCCCCCCCTTTTTCCTACCAAAATTTTCCCAATCCCCCCTCTCTGCCATACATTATATGAACGCAGCCTTAGAGCAGGCCTAGGGCCTAGAGTATTGGCCAATCAATCACCAGTCAATGTTAGCTCAGTCATACTCTGTTTTTGGCCAAAATGACTGGCAAAGCAAAGATTTGTTGTCAGATTCAGCCATTATTTTAAGTTTAAGTTAAGATCAAGGGATGGTCAATTTGCATGGACAGTTATTTCATTGCAATAATGATTACAAGAGAAAGACTTGTTGTTAATGCTAACAGCACCACAAAACCAAACAAGGCTAAACGAAGACACCTGCCCTAAAGAATGCAAATAAAATTACATTAAATTTAGGAAATATGACAAGTGTAGTCAGTGAATTCTTTTAATAATCAATTACTGATAATGTAGATGATGCAGCAGTATTATGTGGGCATTATATGTGAACAAAGTTAAATTTGGTTGGTTGAATGTGATGTAAGATGTATTATATTGTAAGATATACAATATACTTTTTGAGAATTACTTACTGAGGATGACAGAGAGGGCATTGATTTTAGTTCCTCCATCTCTTCAACTAAAGAAAAAAAAGAAAAGTAACTTTGAAAAATAATAATTTTTCTTATTAATTCATGGTACTTTTAGTTATGGTTAAATCTGTTGATGTAAACATGTATAATGTGCAAGGCTGCTTATCCTACCAGCATCATAACGCTTATTCTTTTCAGCATCTGCTTCAGCTGTGATATTTTCTTGCTTATTTGAAGCTTGTTGGGAGCAGAAATAGATGTCGAATAAGAGCACAATGAGAACACCAACACAAAAGACAATCAGAGGTGGAAGGCCTGTTTTTTCCAGATCCAAGAATTTGATGAAAACAGCCAAGAACAGGGTAACAACTGATGGAATAGAGATAGGATAACAAAAAACATCTTAAAAATATTCACCTGCGTAATAGGTAAATTACTATTCAAATATTTTCAAATAGTAAAACTGTACGATTTGCAAAAAATCTTCATAGTTATATATCTAAAAACTAAGGTTTAATCAAGGGGTGTGAACTGAACATGAAGCTTGGGGGAAGTGGGAGAAAAATAGTTGTTAAAAATAATTATTGTGGAACCCTTAATTTAGTGTAAGAAAAATAAAGTAAAATCACACTGACCTCCAAGGACAAGAGCTGACAGACCAACAGTACGGTGAGCCCAGTTGAAAATGTAGCGTCTAAAATCAGTACACACACAACAATATTTGTATTTTAATATTTCAAAGATAGTACATAAATGATAAATGTCCAGTTTTTTTCTATGAATATCTCCAGTTTAAGTTTATCATTGGTTCTCAAGATTGTGTTTTGTTATAAATAAGTATGGATGAGACGTTTGATATAAGCAACTAGAGAGAGAGAGTGTACTGGTAAATGACAAATCTTAAGGCTGTTGTTGGCAGTGAGTTCATAAAATGTAAAAAGACTTACTTGGCTTCATCAGGATGAGGGCGAAAGAATGCCATGATTGGCTGGATTAGAGCCAATCCAAAAGTTATTATACCTGTGTAAGGGTGTGCACCTATGCCCTATATGTATACCAAACAGATATATATAGTACCATAGTTATTACGACATGTTACATAGAAACGAGACATTTAAAAATTGTTTTTCAGTTTCTTACCTCTGACCAGCCCTTTCGATGAACAAAAATCAGAACGATACCAATGGTGTTAAAGATGATTACTAAGATCATCAAACCACGATGAACCTGTAACATAAAGTATTAGTAATATACATTAACGATACGTACTACTTAAGCAGTGGTCTTTTAAATGAGTGGTAAACTAGTGATGGAATAACAAGCTACAACACTGCACCAAAACTCTAGCCTGGATCCCCTCATGATTTTCTACGCTTTTTTGATATTTTCTTACCTTTCAAGAGATCGATCCCCAGGTACTCGTAATACCTTCACCCTCATGTTGTATTGGTACAACCCCACTCAAATCAGAACCTGATTATCTCAACATTGCATGGGAAGGGTTGTGTACCAACTAGTGAGTCTTAACTAGTTTTCAAGTATTGTAGTCTTCAAGTGTCAAGTTGGTTTGAAAACTAATGAAAGACTTTCCTTACAAAAATAACCATATGCTTAAGAAAGAAAGATGTGACTTACTGTGAACCACACTTTCTGCCCGAGTAGTTTTTCATCCTCCCACACCAGTCTCATGTAGCGAGCCATAAAGATAGCGATGGCAGCAAAGCACATCCAAGCAAGTGTCATCAGAGAACCTGCAAGGAATAGTATGAAATTCATACACAAACACATGTTTATATTATATACAACCATCACTCCCTGTGAGGGTCTCTTCTGTGAGATTTGCTCCACTGCACTCTACTAATAATTGCTACATTCACTATCCATTACGATGCACAAAACTGAACTCATATGTTGATTTTTACAGAGGAGGTGGGAGTGGGGAGGGGTTGAAGGCAGGATATTCATACCTACAGCTGTACACCTGGTCCTTGCTAACAGGAAACTAGTTTTTTAAGCATTAATCATTTGATTTATAGTTTTTTTTACCATGTGCCTTGATCATAGCATCAATAGTAGATCCTCCAATAATGCTTGCTGCGATCTGTACATTAACCTCTTTATCTGTTGTGGCTCTCCACGTATGATACCCTGGCTTACTACCTGCTGATAAAAATAATGCAGAAACAAGATAATTCCAATGTACTTTGAATGTGAAATATTTGTGACAATCCAAAGATGTAGGTCATAATCACCATCATCATCATCATGAGCATCATCATCATCATCACCATCATTGCAAGTGCATTGAGACCAGGTAAAATGCCAAGGGTGGATCCAGGGGGGCAAAAGGGGGGCTGAAGCCCCCCCCCCCCCCCTTCAGCAGAAAAAAATGATGCTTTTTTATATTGTTTTCCGTTGTGTTGATGGAAGAAACTAAATTAGCCCTCCTAAACTCACTTATTTTATCCCCCCCCCCTAAAATTTTGGCTGGATCCGCCCTTGAATGCGGTATATAAAAACCTCCCATTATTATTATTATGATCATGATCACTATCGTCATCACAATCATCATCACCATCATCACATCATTATCATCACTATCACCAACAATACTATTACCATTATCCTTACATCACTAGCTATAGAATTACAACCATCTTGAATGCTACATCACTGGCATCACCATATTTACATGTATAATCATTATAATCACTTACCAACTGGCCCATAAGCAAACACGAGATAGTGAGTGGTATCAAGACTTTTCAAGCTTCTTTCACTTGCATCAATCTTTCTCTTAAACCTTAATGGAAATGACAACATTAGTATAGTATGCATCATTATCAACAGCAGCAGCAGCTTGAACATCATTATTGTCAACAATAACATTGTTATATTGATATGTATTATCGACAACACATCAGCATTATAATTAAGCAGCATTTACAGTACCACTATTGCTATATCATCATCATCATCATCATCGATCACTACAGCACTGCCATCACTTTAGGAACTATTAATCATTATCGTTCCCAACACAGTCTTCAATATTGACTTCAGCTTGCACATACATATATTCAATAACAAAGTTCAATTTCAAAGGTTTTAATTTATCTTTTAAATATTATTAATTATTGCACCTGCAAGTGGTTTTTCCATCTGTATAATTCCCATCGATAAACGTTATTTGTGGCGGTAACTAAAGAAAAAAATTAATACCCATTATAAAGCTGAAAAAAACAACAGTTATACAACCAACACTCACTTCAGAAGCTAAGTACAATTGTCTCAAGAAAATTATCATCTGCCTACGGTTACTATTTCCAGCATGCATTGCAAGAGTGGTTTCATGGGCAGAAACAATGTCTTTGCATCACAAAATATTTCATTTTCCTAAGGAGCCAAATTTTCTATTGTTCTATTAATAGACTGAATGGAAATATGGCAACCAATTTGAATACCTATTGTAGTTCTGGGGTGACTTGTCTGGTTGTTGACTTGAAGGTTTTAACAGCCACACATCCTTAATATTATTATGTAATTTAATCATCTATTTATTTCTTTATTTATATTATTGTATTATCTTAGATTTTAATATACATAGATACCATCGACTGTCTCTCGTTTTCTCACTGGACTCTGAAGATGACTTCCGCTCAGGTTTGCACCACGTCAGTCACCACCACCAACAGTCCTTTTCAAGACTACGCTCACCCGTACGATTACACTTCACAACAAACTTTAACACCTGGGTTCAAACCATTTACTCATATCTTAAATATATTAAATAATTCCTGGAAATGTGTGCTGTTAATAATATTATAAAAAAAAGATGACTTAAGCCTCTTTTACATGAAAGCGCTTTTGTGTTTCACACGAACATGAGGCTAGTTAACATATTTTGATTTGGCGTATATGCAGCTGCTATGAAACCACTCTATGACTACAGGTGAGAACATACTTACTGGATCTGTCTTCTGAGGGAGTGATTTAGTGGTGAGGTCATAATGTTGTAGCTTTACGTCTCCAGATATTGTGGCACACATTACTGCATCAGTCCCTGGCTAGAAAGCAGGTTATGAACAGTAATCTGTATTATTGTTTGGTTAATTATAGGCCCGATAGGAAAAGAGCATTACAGATCTGAAACCGTGCATCTTGAATATCCTGAATACATATATCATATTAAGTGTTATATCAAATGTCTCTCTCTAATAATTGGCATATAAAGCACTTATTTTATGAAGGCACATGTCACTGCTTTAAAGAACGAGACCTCCTGGCCACAAGTGAATATCGATTTATTTTTTTCCCTTTACTTTTCCATTCCTTTTCGCAATTTTGTTAATATTGTTGATTAGCAATCCATCATAAGCATGTGCGCAGATAGCATAAGGAGCCAGGATACCAGACTGTGGTTAGAAATAGAAAATACTGCTCGCTCCAACAGCCAATCAGAATGCCCAATTTTTAGGATACCAGATCAGGAAAAAATAAAATAAAACTTCAGAAAAACGTATGTGAAGATAAATATATCCAAACATACCATTGAATTTTTTTTGGAATTGAATCCCACAGCAACCCATTGTTTTTTTCCACTCATTTCAAATTCAATGTAATCTCCATCCTTTTTGTAGGTCAAAACATATTTTTTGTCTGCCTTACAATCATCAATATTGTCTGCGCAAGTATAACATCCCATGGATTTTCCACAGCCGCTTTCATCATTCTGTAATACAAATACGTAAAACATGCTTAAACACAATTGCTTAGCCACTACATTTTGTGGAAAATACTTTTTTAACTCGACTTTGTGCAATACTTAATGTTTATGATACATAAAGATAAATAAGACCAAATAGGTTACTTTTTTACATTCTGCATCTTATTTGATATCTTGCATCTCATAAGATATATGTATAAATGTATACTACAACTTTTCTGCAATCAAGTGTATATATATATATATATGACAGTAAGTATATACCGCAGTATGACAATGGATGATTGATGGTCCAGTGAAACACACCAGAAAAAATATCACCTACAAGAGAAAGAAAGGAATATAAAGGCTTGTATTTCATTATTGATAGCACATGTATGCATTAATATCATAGAAGACACTTTATAACAGCAACGATAAATGTGTGCATACAGAAATGGATAGTACATGCTGACGTGATTGAATAGCGTGCGCTATGTAATGAAGTTTTCGTTAGTTTGCTTAGTTGTGCATATATTAGATAATAACTTAGACCAATATACAGATCAATATTTTGTGCTGGGTCAAGTGCTAGTGAATTAAGGAATGGTCAATGTTAGCTTACTGTGTTTATATCCAGTTCTGGATTCACCCGGGAGGCTGCTTAAGCACTCAAGAAGCTAGAGTTGCACTTGGCTACGCCTCATGCGACTCTCTCAAGCTTAGCAACATCCTGCGTGCTTCCAGAACAAGATATAGGCACGCTAAATACGCATTTACAATTCCTTTAATTCGCTAACACTTGACCCAGCACAAAAAATTGATCTACATATTGGTCTATAATAAAATATGACATTAATTTTTAAAAAATCACCATATGTTATCATATTAAGCTTAAAATTTTACTTAAACCAGCAGGTAATCAAAACTAAATAAGTTTATGTATTTTGAATGTTTAGACACCGCCGTTCAGAAAATCAAGACTCGTAAATTTAGTGATTCACATAAAGTTTTGCGTGACAATAAAATAGCAAACTAACTAGAATTCTGTTGCTCTTAAATAAGATACCAAAATATGAAACTAAAATACAGATTTCTTGGTTGTTTTGATGCATATCATTGATCTTGAATATCAAAAGTCTTTCTCAGAGAATTTCAATCGAAGTCCTTGAGAAATACGTACTCCAGGTTCTCATTCAAGCTTTGCAACACAAACAGCCAAAGTATTGCATAAGGTATTTACAGCTTACATACATACCTCAATGCCTTTGGTCATAGTCATAGTAGGGTTTGCAAATATCAAATGGACAACTTCTCAATAAAAGACTCTCTTCTCGCTTCTTTAAACGACTGAGCCCAACAACACCCAAATATGCAAATATCGTATTTACCACTTATATGATTAATTTGTGTCTTATAGATGACAGGCTTTGGTTACCAAGAAACCTGATCGACGAACCAGCTACAGCTCAATGTTCGTGCACAATATAAATTCAATGGTCTCGATAGAAAGCCATTGTATTCTTTGTTATAACTTGGAGTCTTTTGTCGTGGCTATTGAATTACGTAGACAGAGTCTCCCTTTACTGTGCACAGTAATTTATCTCGCCCTTCCAGAAGGTAACTAGCAGTGTAAAACACTATGCAGACCGATGCAGACCTAGATGGATGCTGACTCAGAGAATCTTCCACTGGTTGCGAATGATTGCCGATTTGCCGAAAACTGGCTTTCGGAAAGCTTTCGGAAAGTCTCGTTATGGCTTCGTTTTGTGAAGTCCAATTTATCAGGCATGTTTGAAAGTCAAATTTGCAGCCCGGCCCAGCCCCTCTGCAGTCCCCAACACACACAAAAAATGCCCAATACTACTCACCCGAAGGGCACGAGTTTATCCTTAGAACAAGGGTCTAGTAGTGGTATGTAGAATTATTTATTATTACTGGATCATCCCTATAAGCAACCACCCTCGTCTCAATTCCCAAGCGTACAGAGACTTGGCCTATACCGACTATACCCTTCAATTAACTACCGTATTGCTACACTGACTCACTTTATCGCCATAATAATAAACGTACGTCTTAAATAAGAATTCACTTAAGCGATTTCTGTTGGTGTGTAGTTTGAATGGATGCATAAAGTACAATGGCAGATAATTATATTCTGTCCAGAACAGCTTGCCGTTACTGTAATCAATATAGCCGTATTTTTTTGGAAGATAAAATCCATAAACATGTTCAAAATTAAGCTCGATGTCCAGGAATGTAAGTATTGTCGGTACTGCTATTTCAAGAAATACTTTATTCCTAAAAAATATATTAGAAATTATTTGAAATTCATTTGCGATTCTCTTAGGAACGTAGAAGAAGTCCGACAGCCCCGACCTACATAATCGTTTACCACGACTGTTGTTCATATAAATGTTATATAAACTCGTCATATTTCCTGTTTCAGCAAGATTTTCTAGTTCTTTAATCGTTTGTCCACATGTCATTAGACCAGGTGATTTCTTGGACCACCAAGGCCAGTTACCTCTGGGTTCTGGCTTACCAACTTCTGCTCCTAGTTCGATATCGCTTCCAATCCATATTCTGTTGGTATTGAAGCGACCTAGATTCCACCAATTAACAATCATGTCGTCATTGATGTACATATATCCAGCGTAGCCTGGATTTTCTCTTATTGCTTGTCCAAGACATTCATATGCGTAATGACCAGCTTTGACCTCAACTGTGATTACTGGGTACGAATCATTTTTTTGAGGACCACATATGACGACTTTCTTAAAAGCAAGGTCGTAGAACTTGGTAAGGGTGGGAATGCTGTCGTATAATGGATAGTGATAGACGATGACGAGAAGGATGTCGTTGAAAATCCCTCCCAGACAAGATTCATTGGTGCGCATTAAAGTGTCTCCCAGTCTGATACGGCAAGACTCATACCATCCATTAACTAATGGTGCTGATCTGTTGGGTTTGATGCGATGTAGAGCACGTAAGGGGTCCTCTTTTTTCCTAGGTAGGACTTGTTGATCTGGAACAAAAGATCTCTATTATCTGTCTACTATTGATACGATACTCTTCAAGGCTATCGAAAGTCGATGTGGCGTTACACTGGGCACGTTCATTCTATAGTGAGATTAATCTTCAGAGTCACCAACGCGAGTGTAACTTTTTCCTTTTTCTTAACGTTTTCCTTCTTCTTTATAGTTATTAGGATATCTTTAGATTTTCATTTTATATTTTGCCAATCTAGCAACCATTTTCAAAGCAAACATTTCTCATCACCCTCTAAGAAGAGTAAATTGTTTAAATGAAAAAATATTTACGCTACCGGAGCGCAGACTGGAAGAAACATTTTCAACATGAGAACGATATAACAGCTACCATCATTCTATTTCCATTTCCTTCTTAACGCGCGCAAAAATAAAAGTTAAATGTCAACAGCACGGCACAGCCATTTTACTACTTACATGGGGTTTTTGTTCTGCCTGTAATCGTTATAACAAGAGCTAACAATGCCACATCGATAATCAATAATGATACGAACACTGTTTTTGCTCCCCAAATGAAGTACGCCATTTCTGTCTGCCGAGTAAATTTAAGTCAATCAAACACACGGAAATGATTAACGATAGGGGGATTGGTATATATGTATAAACTAACTGGTAAGGAATAATATATAATGAGTATGGAAAGAGCAGTCTCTAGCGACGTGCAAAAAAAGAAGAAACAGCGCCCTCCCTTAACACCTTGAACAGCCTGTACCACTAAGGGTTTTCATACCGTCAGTATCAGCCAATCAAATTATCTTATCCAAAAGTAACGTTCGTCATCAGTTTGTTGACGGTCTCTGATTGGCTCGGTAAAAAATTAATGGGCTGAATGGGAGGGAGTAGATATGAAGTACCAATTCTACATCACTCGAGGAGTGAGTTTCCAGTGAGGTAGGGGGAGGGGTGGTCAGTTATATTTATTCTTAGTTGGCTGGATTGCACCACATCCTATGTTTTACGTCAAAGTTTAATCCTAATAAAAGTTTCTAATTA